TGCTATGCAAAATTGATTTTGTATAGCACATTTGCTTTGCAAATTTTTGGCTGGAAATTGTTCCCTGGAACTAGAGTTTATTTTGCCATAAGGTAGTATGATTATGCATGACACGAAGTATTTGCTAGTCTAGTACTGAAGAAATTAGCGTTTGGATGCGCATTGTGCGGCTTTAACGGTTGCCCGCTTGCCCGGAGCAAGTACTTCGGGCTATCGTGCAAGTGATTTGCCCCTTAAACTTGCACGACGGGGCGAGTAAATCAAATCATTTGCAGAGGAAACACATACGAGTTATCTCCAGCGTTCGACGGAACCAAGTTTTTGCTCGGGCCACCATCTCTACGAAACTGCCGGTGCTCCTGATCGGCACTTTTCCCCCTCGTATTACGCTGAAATACTACGGTTATCACCACGGCAGTTTAGACAGACTTGTAAACGGGAGCGCATTCTAATACGCGAGGTATCCAAAACATCTAGAGCCGAGGGCATGAACTCTCTCCCGCAATGCATGATTCGTCACACAAACAAAAACTAGCGACAGTCTAAGAAATCGATTGCGGCCTGTAGCGTAGCCCAGTGTTTTTATGACCGCATAACAATAAGATCATATGTCGCAGGGGTTATCGTTGGGAGCGAGGGCACGCCCAGTGACACCTGACACCAACGTAATCAAAGCTGTTAACTGAATTCGTCACTTTTCTATACGTAGAAAGTTGAGTATTTTTATTCAGTTAGATATCTAGTTCGAAGCAATGTAAACTGTATCTATATAATAATTTGAGTAGTGTCGTTCAGTTTGTTCCTGCATAACTTCTAGGCGCGTGCACGAATTCGGCTGAAAATTTTCGTGCTTTATTCCTACGCATCAGGTTCGATTCCAACACTTTGCTTTTTGTTATTTATTGGGTTAAATGTTCAACAAAATATATTTAGAAAATCAAATGGAAAATCTCCCCGGAAAACATGCACAATTCAGTTCACTTCCGCTAGGTGCGCTGGCTGTAGACTTACAAACACGCAACCACTGGCTAAGGGATACAGTAGTCTGTCACATAACCTTGCAGTGGATTCGCCAGGGCACACGCGCTGGCTGTGGAATCAAGTCCTCCCCAACCTGCACGCTCGCACTCAGCGCACATCTATCTATTTTCTATCTATCTATCTATCCATCTATCTATCTATCCATTCATCAAATGTGAACCTGTGACCCTTGACCTTGAGTGAAAGGCACTCAAAATCAATAGGGTTCCACCTACACAAACACACACACGCGCGCGCGCGCACACACACACACACACACACACACACACGGCTAATCCTTACACAAACGAAAAACGGCAATGCGCTCAATTTCAATTGGGGTTAATTTACGGCTGGGGTACATCAAACATGATCAGACCCGACCGTCTGTTACATTATTTTTTATTGTTTTTTCCTTTTTTTCTTTGTTCTTTCTTTTGTTCTTATTGTCTTCTCTTGCCTTCTATCTTACAACAATTCCCAATCC